TGTGCTTCTTCCATGTGGGCTTTGTTGCTTCTCAGGTAGATGGCTGCTTGTTTATCTTCAATCCTTTAAGGCCCCAGATGCTATATCTTTTGATAGCCGGGCACTATCAGCTTTCTTCACCACATTTGCTTCATTATAATATTTTACTTTGTTTTCTTAAGATGCTCTTTGAAATTTTCTTTTGGGTTATTTGCCTTCATCATTTCATCCAGGTGCCTTAGCTACTCTGGGATTTAGAGCAAGTTCCAGTCTTCTCTGACATCCATGCTGATCTTTTCCATCTTTCCTATCCTTTTAAATGACCTTAGGCTTTCTTCACGTACGATGTTCTTGATATCCTCCCACAATTCATCAGCTCTCTTGTCATTAGTGTTCAGTACATCAAACCTGTTCTTGAAATGTTCTCAGCATTCAGGTGGGATAGACTCAGACATCCTATTCTGGCTCTGGTGGACTGGTTTTTATTTTTTTGAGCTTTAACCTGAACTTATATATGAACAGCTGATGGTTTGTTCCACAATTAGCTCTGGGCCTGGTTTTTGCTGCTAATATTGAGCTTCCCCACCGTCGCTTCCCACAGCTGTAGTCAGTCTGATTTCTTTATATGTATTCCATCTGGAGAAGTCCAGGTGTATAGTCACCATTTGTGTTATTGAAAAAAGATATTTGCGATGAAGAAGTGATTGGTCTTACAAAATTCTTTCATGCAACCTCTGACTTTGTTTCTGTCACCAAAACCATGTTTTCCAACTACAGTTCCTTCCACTTTATTTCCAACATGCACATCCCAATCACCAGTAATTATCAATGCGTCTGATTGCTTGCTTGATCAATTTCAGACTGAAGATGTTGGTAGAATTCTTTAGTTTCTTCATCCTTAGCTTTTGTGGTTGGTATATATGAGTAATAGTTCTATTGATTGGGTATCCTTAAATTTGGATAGGTGTAATCCCATCACAGACAGACAGCATTGTACTTCAAGATAGATCTTAAATGTCCTTTTGACAATGAATGCAGACAGGGCCATTTTTCTTGATTGTGTCATTTCCAGCATAATAAACCATATGATTTTCTGATTCAAAATGACTTCAGTTCATTAATGCCTCAAATGTTGATTTTTATATGTTCCCTTTCATTTTTAACAACTTCCAATTTTCCTAGCTTCGTATTTCATACACTCCAAGATCCAATTATCATTTGATGTTTGCATCTGTTTCTTTTAATTTTCAATTGTGCCTCATCAGCAAATGAAGGTTCCAAAGGCTTTGTTCCCACAGGTTGGATCCCTCCACATCGTTATGGTCGGCTCCACTTTGAGAGGGAGCTCTTCTTCAGGTATGCTTTGAGCGCCTTCTCTCCGACAATGCTCTGCTTCTTTACATGAGGTTTGTAGTGTCTGACAGTTGAATTTCAATTCTGTCCATAAGGTTTTTCCATCATTTACTCCTCACAAGTGAATATCCTATTCCTTCTTCATAGTCTGTTCTTAGTCTGGAAGCTTTTCTGAAACCTGTGCACTTTGGGGGACCCCGCTGGTGTTTGAAATACCAGTGACACAGCTTCCGGCATATCAGCAACACGGAAGCACCACAGTACGACAAAATGACAAAGCCGCCATTCCTTTAGTGATGATTAAAACGTGATGCCAGTAATTATCTTTTTGTCTAACAACCGCCAACTTTATTCTTACGTTATTGGCAAACCCAAACCAAACCAAACTCGTTGCTGTTGAATTGATTAGCCACAACTCGTGGTTACCGTGTGTGTGTGTGTGTGTGTGTGTGTGTGTGTGTGTGTGAGCGCGCGCAGTGCTCACCAAATCCAAAACATAAGCAATGGAATTTTGTACATCTTGTTGAAATGTGGATTTAAAATTGTTATTTTTATATACTTTAGAAATTATTTCACTGGCATTAAAAACCAGTGGAAGATGTAAGGCCCTTTGAATCTTTACATATCATTGTTATATGTTTAATTTCCTTGAAGGGATATATTAAGTATTTTGCAGGTGTGAGCCTTTGATGATTAGGTGGTGGTTCATATCTTTTTATCTCTAGTTTCTTTGCTTTTCTTTGATAATTTGAAAAGCCTGCTTATTGCACAGTTTGTGAAGTCAGGCCACATGGATTGATTCCTTCCACTGACTTATTATTAGCTATAAGTGATTAAACACACTGTTTTCATTACCTCTAAATTCATACAATTTTCTTGACTTTCCTATTGTAGAGTTTGATATATATGGGTCTATTGGGTGGACTGAGTTTTTAGGGGGTGTGTGAAGAAAGGTTTATTCTCGGGATTAGTATATACCATAGAAATAATTATTGCAACGGCATGGGATATGTCAGTATTGGTAGCATTTTTCCAATTTTGAACTTGAGTAGGTGTTACCAGAGTTTCAGAAGAGATCTTAAAAATGGTAGTTTAGTGTGCTAAACTGAGCTAAACCTAAAATAACTAATGATCATTAAAACCATGGTACTAGTCCATCGAAGCTCTTTGAAATTTCTTTACCTGTTTGTTTTCCTTTTTTCTTTTATATGATGCTCAACTGTCACCCGAGTTTAACTTGAACATTGAGCACCTCTTCCTCTCCCCACACTGCATGTATGAAATAGAAAGGAAAGCTTCATTCTGCCCTCTTCCAGAAACCTAAGATGGTAAACGGACTCCACAGGCTTCTTTTCCAAACGATAGAGATTGAGTGAGCCTTTCAGAACGGGGAGGCAAGGTAGCAGAATGTAGCTGTCGTCTGAGCCTTTCATTCAGGTTCTGGCCCTGGTCTTTCTGATTTAGGTCATTGCTGCTCTTGTTTTCTTAGGAGTGGTGTCTAGTGTGTACTTGCACTCTCGCTGTCTCTCTCTCTCTCTCTGGCACATGCGTGCACACACGTGAGCCACGTTATATATAATTTACACACAATTTATTTGTATATATAAATTATATACTTAGTCATCTACTGAAAAAGGCTTTTTTCACAGAACTTGTGCTTGAAAAATTTTACCTAACTGTCCTAGTTCTCTAATCCACAGCAGCCAGCCTGCCTTAGTGACTTATTTCCCTTCTGTATAGCTTTGGAATCAGTTCAAGAGTATACTACCTGTTGCGTTTCCTCGTTTGCCCAGTGGGCTGCATAACAGTTGCATTGCTTCACTCATACTGGTCTTTATGTGTAGGTTCTTCGTGGCATTGAGTAAGATTTTTTTTTTTTTTGGTATTTCCATCGTCTCCGCCCTCCCTCTCCTGTAAGCCTTTTTGGTCATTTTGCCTCAAACTAAAATGTATTGATTTGTGCTTCAACTTTAATTTGAAAACAAAAGCCCTAAGAGTACTAGAGGAGCGAGGACAACAGAGACCACCTACTTCCTCTGCCGAGCCCCAGAGAAAACGGATGTAGGTCTGGACAGATGACCTAGCTACATAGCAGTGCTAACATTTCACTTGTTAGGCAGCCTTAATCGTGATTCTGGTCTGCTTTTGCTGGAATTATACTTTTTCACCCAATGACATCATAGTCAGTGCACTCAAAAGCAGGTTTTCATAGCTTTTCTATGGCCCTTATTTATGGAATAATGGAATAATGACCAACCTAAAGACAACCTAAAGAAATTGCGTACCTTGTAACAGGGTCATTGAATGTGTGAAACAATTGATCATTGAAGACTATGGGCTGCTGTTAAGGTAAAAGGCAGTTTTTGAATGAACCATCCTTACGTAGAGATTTCCTTAGGTTTGAGTTGATAATTGCTTTTATCCAAAATGGTAATGGATTGAAGGTTAGTATTACTTTAGTCTTTATAACTGGTTCAAGGGTATTTTTTTTTTCCTCTTATGCTGAATTATGTGGATGAGAGCGGGGAGGGTGAAAATGGTTTCAAAATTAAAGTTATTTATTGTTTTCTTCCTAGGTGCATGCTATTATGATGCCAATCAGTCTATGTATGTGTTTGGAGGCTGTACCCAGAGTAGCTGCAATGCTGCCTTCAATGACCTCTGGAGACTTGACCTAAATAGCAAAGAGTGGATCCGACCTTTGGCTTCAGGTAAGATTTGCAGTGCTGTTATTCCCCTGCTTACTGAGTAAAACTTCCTGGGTTCGGAAAACTACCTGGTCCTGTTTGATATTCGTCTCAAGGACCAGGTTCTTTGTTGTATCTGCTGTGTAAATGCTAAGGGTAATATGCATATCTTTAGATTGAAAAAGAGATCTGAAGGTTCTTCAAAAAATTCTTGTTAAAAAAAAACTACTTTGTTTTCATTCCTTGTTTCCAGGAACTTTTTGAACCCCCTTGTATATTCTTTATCATTAATATTGGTTCTTGCCAAAATTGCTGTACTACTGTGTGGATTCATTTGCATGTTTTTGTCAAGTACTCTTAACAGTGGTAGAGGAGTCCTGGTAGCGTAGTGGGGAACATGTTGGACTGCTAACCACTAGGTCAGCTTTTCAAAAACACCAGCTACGCCAAGGGAGAAAGATGAGGCTTTCTACGCTCGTAAAGACTAATAGTCTTAGAAACCCCGAGGAACATTTGCACCCTGGCCTATAAAGTCATTTTGAGTTAGAGTTGACTTGATGGCAGTGAGTTTGGAGGGGTTTTTTTGGGGGGGGGGAGGTCTTAGAGTTGTGATATATTGTTTGGTATGCAATCTAAGGAAACACAGAACACAAAGATGTAAGAACTCTAGTTAACTAACAGAAGCTATTGTCCCAGGGCTAAGATCTCTGAGTATCTTTTGTTGTTGCCAGCTCAGCTATTTGGGGAGTGTATGAGACATGCCTCTGCTAGTTACCTCTTAATAACTCAGAAGTGTGGGAAGATTCCACTGTAGGTGCATTCCTTCACAATCCCTCTGTGCCAGAATTCTGACAGAAAGAAACTAAGTGATTTTTTTTTTAACTGAACCGTTCTTGCTGGGAGAGGAGTGGAGGGACAAAAACCTGTTTTTGCACCCATAAAGCAGAACATTTGAAGAGGCACAGTTAGTTCAGATTGAAGTAACTGCTTGTGATGGGGATATAGAGTCCACTGAGTATAAAGTTTTGTGCTAGATATGCTTTCTTGGGTAGGCACCGTGTTTCTTTAAGCCTTGATTGATTACTTTGATTACTACATGAGAAGTAGCATGACTTATTGGAAAGGACATTGGACTACTAGTAAATAAACATGAATTCCATTTCTTGGCATTATCTCCACTTCTGTGTATAGCTATGAACACATTTTTGTACCTTCTCGGGAGAGAGATGAAGAGGACTAGATGATTCTATTTTTAAATGGGCTGGGAAAGCTAGTACATGTTCTCTTTTATTTATACAACCATTGCTGTGAGTGTGCAGGCCAGGGGCTTCACTGTTCATGGGAAGAAGCTCCACTTTGTTTCCCCAAAGCTGTAAACTCCTGGGTTTTTTTCCACTCTGCAGTAGACAAATACAAGGGAAGCAGACTGATCACAGATACTCCTGGTAGAATTGAGTTTCATGCAGATGAAATTCTGTATTAAAATTATTAGAAAGAAAAAAAAATTATTAGAAAGAGGGTGTAGTATAGCACTGAGGAAACATACAACTTTCCTCTAGTTCCTAAATGCTCCCCCCCACCCCCTACTATCATGATCCCAATTCTACCTTACAAATCCAGCTAGACCA